GGTTCCGGGCGGGCGGCTCCTCGCACGTCCGATCAGGATGCTGAGCGCTCGCGGCTTCCAGGGGGGCCTCCTCAGCGCCCTGCTCGCCCTGCGGAGGTTTCTGGGAGGAACTGCAGAGACGGCAGGGGAGCCTGGCCCGTGTGGCTCAGTGGATAGAGCCTGCGGACTGAACGGTCCCGGGTTCGATTCCCGGTCAGGGCACAGGCCTGGGTTGCAGACTTGATCCCCAGTAGGGGACGTGCAGGAGGCCGCCGATCCGTGATTCTCTCTCATCATGGATGTTCCTATCTCTCTCCCTCTCCCTTCCTCTCTGAAACCAATAAAAAAATATTTTTTAAATATATATTTTATTGGTTTTTCACAGATAAAATTGGTTTTTCACTCCTGGGACACGGCCCCGTCCCCGTGGCCGGCGGGCCTGGTCCGACATCTCTGCGGTCCCTTCGCCGGCCTCGGGGGCTCTCGCTCCGGAAGCAGCCGCGCTTTATTTAGTTAAAACTGCCATCTGCGCAGCCACAGAAGACGGTGCCGCTGATTTGCATGTATGAGGGAGAATCGAATAACACGGCGTGTTTCCTCCGAGCCTCGGGCTCCGGCAAATTGGAGATGACAGTGATGTAAAGGCCTGACTTCCTATTGATTCTTCTCAGCAAAGCAGAGCCGTCCCTGGTGTATGTGGGAGGGAGGGAGGGAGGGAGGGGGCAGCCAGACAGAGAGAAGCCATTTAGTCACACAGCGAGCGAACCTGAGTCCCGGCCGGGCCTGGGGCGCGTCCCGGAGGCTCTGAGCCGGTTCCTGGGTGTGTTCTGGGCTCCAAGGGCCACGGGGAACAGGGCCGGGCGGCCTCCTGCAGCGCCTCCTGCAGGTAAAGACAGGTGGTGTCCGCTCCCTGCCTGCCCCGCACCCAGGTTCCCCCGGGTCAGGCTGGGGCTGGGGTCTGTCCCCAAAGACAGTGCATGTTATGCATTTAAATTGTGCGCTGGGCCCGGCCGGCGTGGCTCAGTGGCTGAGCGTCAACCTATGAACCAGGAGGTCAGGGTTCGATTCCGGTCAAGGCACAGGCCCGGGTTGTGGGCTCCGTCCCAGTGTGGGGCGTGCAGGAGGCAGTCGATCCAGGACTCTCTCTCATCACTGACGTTTCCCTCTCCCTCTCCGAGAGAGAGAGAGAGAGAGAGAGAGAGAGAGAGAGAGAGAGAGAGGAGCCGGCGCTGGAAAGCTCACCCTCATTAACCCAGGTGGAAACCTGGGCGTTAATGGAGCCATTAGCCGAAGGCCGTCCTGGGGGAGGAGGAGGCGGAAGCCAGGCTCTGAGCTCATTACGGTAATGAACCTGGGAGCGGACTTGGACCTGGGGGCTCCGGGAGCATCCGCAGCATCTGGAACAGCCCTGTGCGCCTCCTCCCTGACGGTAGCCCCGTGCACTGCCCCACGGTAGCCTGGCCCCGGAGTCCCGTGGGCCCGGGAGGAGCCGGGCAGAGGCGAGGTCATTGCCGGCCATTGGGCCCCAGCGTCGGACAGAACGAGGCCAGGACTCCCCCCCGGGACCCAGGGCCCCTCCGCCGAGCGCGTGTCATTAAAAGGTCGCTGCTGGGCCAGTTGCTTCCCCGAGAAAGACCTGAGCAAACCTCTCCGCCCCGGTGTCTCCTCCCTCCCCGTCGAGCGGTGTTTCCGGGGGGGACTTGGGGAGACGTCAGCCCGAAGGGAAAGGGGCCCAGGGTGCCCCCTGTTCACCGCCTCCGCCCGAGAGAGGAGGGTCGTGCCTGCACTCCCGAGAGAGGTGTTCACCCCCGGCTGTGTGGCTCAGTGGATAGAGCATCGGCCTTCGGACCGAAGGGCCCCGGGTTCGATTCCAGTCAAGGGCAGGCACCTCGGTTGCAGGCTTGGTCCCTGATCCTGGCTGGGGTGTGTGCGGGAGGCAACCAATCGATGTGTCTCTTTCACATTGATGTTTCTCTCTCTCTCCCTCCTTTCCACTCTCTCTAAAAATTAATGGGAAAAATATCCTCAGTCAGGATTTAAAAAAAAAGAACATTTGGTAAAAATTAAGGAAATCTGAATAAAGCACGAACTTTAATAATAACATATCAATATTGACTCATTACTTTTAACAATGTACCATACTGATGTAAGATGTTAATAATAGGGGAAAGTGGGTATGGGTGTACAGAAACTATCTATACTATCTTTGAAATTTTATGTAAAACTCAAACTATTATAAAATTTTTAAAAAAATTTTAAAAAGGAGGAATAAGAGAGAACATGGTGTGTTCTGAAAATTCAAAGTGGGGAGTGGGAATTAAAAGTTTGGCTAAGTAGGCAAAAGATCTTTCATGCTATTCAAAGGAGATTCACTTTTTATTTATTTATTTTATTATTATTATTATTTTACTTTTGTTAATCCAAGGATAGGACTCGGAGCTGCTCAACACCGCCATCCTCACCGGGCGGACGGTCGCCCTGCCCCTCCGGGTGGTGTCCGTGGAGGAGAGCGGCGCCGTGGCCGACATCTCCGAGTCCGTGGAGTGCACGTCGGCCGACGAGGACGTCCTCAAGGTGAGGGGGTCTTGGTGGTGGTTGTTAATCCTCAGCCGGGGGCGTTTTCCCGTTGCCTGTTGGAGAGAGTGGAAGGGAGGGAGGGAGGGAGGGAGAGAGAGAGACATTGATGTGAGAGAGACACAGCCATCGGTTGCCTACACACGCCCTGACTGTGACCCGGGGTGGAACCTGCAACCCAGGTACATGCCCTTGATCGGGAATCGAACCCGGGACCCTTCGGTGTTCGGGCCGACGCTCTGACCACTGAGCGACACAGGTCGGGGCTCCAGTGTGTGTTGAGACGTGGAGCACACCTCCCATTGCCGCCCGGGCCGGTGCCCTGTGACCGCGGGTGGCGAGGGGCGGCTGTGCTGGACGGCAAAGGTCTCGACTCTGAGCTGGACTTTGCCACCTGGACACCCTGGACCTTCTCCCCCAGGTGATCCTATGGGGGGGGCTCCCTGTGCCTTGTGGGGTGTCTGGAGGCTTCCTGCCTTCTCCCTGGTAGAGGCCCACAGCACAGCCACTGTGTCCGGACACGAACTACACGCCCGGGCGGGAAACATCGCCCCACGGAGAGCCACGGCCTGTGGCCGGCTGTCCGGCCCCCCGTCACCG